TCTTACTTGAAGGAGCCCAAGTAGAATCTGATTAAAATTTGCTCCGTCTCCACACCATTGGCGGTATTGCCGTCCTCATCCACACCTCGACGAAGATATCTAAGCCCGGCACGCTTAACCGATCTTCTAGACACTAATGTCAATAGATATGGCTTATCTGCACTAACACGTGCTGTGGAGATTTGTTCATCCGAACTATCTGTTGTGATCTCATTCAGTTCCATGGAGGTCTTCTCAGTGTCCGAACCTACAACAGGCTTTGGCGGATTGCTATCCATTACAAATGCTCGTTGTCCTACGAAGCCCTGCATAATAGGCAAGGCAAGTGAAGCTTGCCCAGCATCAATAAATGGTAACAGAAGGTGTCGGTTCCAGAAGAAGAGTGGATCGACTTCCTTATGCAATGGCAATTCAGAGTTTGTGTTCCTTTTATTGGCCAAACTTCTTGTGATATCATGATCGTAAGAAAAATAGTAACTCCGGGAGGTCCCAAACAATATTTGTGTCGTACGCAGTAACTTTGGCAGCATGCTCTCAGCAATATCCTGAACGTTCTTAACCTTGTCAGACTTTCCAACATTTTCAATGTCCCTGACCTCATCGGAAATCAAAACCTCAGGTTCCACTTCAGCATCCTTTGAAGTGGTAGCTGCTACGTCGGCAGACCTGGCATCTTGCTCTCGTGCAGCATACGGTTCAGTGCTCATTCCCAGGTTCCTCTTCTGGTCCACAGCCCATCCTTTCTTCGAGAACCATTTTTGAGCGAATCTCCCATACCCTCCCTTCTTCGAAATTACATCTTCGGCCACACTGCTCGTTCTTGTATGTGTTTCTATTGCTGTATCGTCCTCCACTTCGTCACTAACATTGACTTCGTCATCCTCACTATCACTGTCGTCCAATCCATGATCTTCAATACTACTCTTTAACAATCCCGCTCTTGTTTTGTTGATCGAGTTCTCTGCTTCTATCCTGGAAGCTAGAGGGGTCAAAGCTACTTCAGTAATAACATATATAGGTTTTCCTTGTATTTGTGCGACTTGTTCCCTTTTCGTAATCGATATTAAGAAGGAGCTTTTAGAAACCGTCAAGAGACCTAAAGATGTCAGACAACTGGGGCACTGTCAATATCGCAAATGCATACCGACAATCCCGAATGCTTCAAAGCCTTTGGCAGACGGCCCCTCGTAATCGTGAGAATCATAAGATGCTGGTCCGACATGCTTATCTTTATACGTGATCTTCGTTGCGGGGGCGGGGCGCTGGCCTTTTTGCGCCGTTGGTTGCAGAATCAAGCCATCAATGGCGGCAAAGATAAGAAGCTTTCGAACGAGGCCAGGCATACTGGCAGTTTCTATATAATTATCATTGAGGGTTATGTAAACGGAAGTTGGTGTTGAGAGGTGGAATTTAAGTTTGGAAAGAAGGATTGATTAGCAGTTTTAGCTCTCACTCACAAGATTAACACCACCAAATGGGAGGTGTCTCAATTACCATGGCATGTAATTATTCGTCACCACGATAAGACTCGCCTTGAAAAAAAAAATTGAACCGTTAACAGAACATTAATGTATTGATATGTATTTGATAGCCTTGAAAACAAGTGTGGTTGTTAAACGTGAATGGGAACATTGAAAAAATGTTGTGAACTTGCTATATTGACAAGCTCACCGGGGACATTTTCCTGTTTCCTTGCCAGAGGGGAATGCAATGAACGAATAACCAATTCCACGTCGAAACATTATTGTGGATTTTCGCAATGCCTTTACTCAGCCCTACCAACTGAAAAACCAAATGGCTCCTCAATAAATACCTATTCACTCCGTATGTAATGAGTTTCTATTTAAATACAGTTAAAATCTGGGGATATTCAAATCTCGCGCTAGTGTAAAATTCTCAAGCGAAAAGAATCTCTTCCACTGCAAAAGATTTCTTTTCAACTCCACCAACAAATCGATAACACTTCATATTCAACCAAAAAGCTTGAATATAAACTTAATCATGGGTAAAAACGGAAAATTTGGTAAGGACTATGGCAAAGTGGTTGGTAAAGACCATGCTGGACGTCCAGGATGGAAAGGTCCAGGATTTACCAAAAAAGCCGAACCAAAACCCAAGAAGACGGAGCCAGAAGAGGAGAAAGATGTACCTAAAGAATCTCTTCTTCCTGCAAAATTACAGCAACTTCTATTGAATGTTTTCAGAGACACATATTCGGATGTCATCAATTCTGATGATTTTCATCAGCTGCTGCAAGATGTTAAAGGAGCTTTATACGATAGAGACTTTAGTCGTGCGTTTGGCAAAGAAGAATATCTCGAAGTCTATTCTGCAAGATGGTCACCTAGCAGATCATTATGTTATGCTTCGATTCTTTTGGATCTTCAAGAACATCTTGGGGAAATTATGCCACGTGACGAGAGCGCTCAGATGGGAGTCGAATCCGAGGTAGCGAACGACACGCCATCCACGACTTCTTCTAGGTCAAAATCACGAGTTGTCTCCTTTGGTGGAGGAGCAGCAGAAGTCATCGCATTTGGAGGGTTTTTAAAGCATGGATTCAAAGCTTCAATCACGGAAACGACCTCAGACACCACTGATGAAGCAATGGCTTCTCTCAATTTATCCGACGTAAATGATAATATCGAATTGCTACTCGTCGATACAGCATCTTGGGCAAATATTATTAACAAACTTCACACCAGCATCATAACTCCTCCGCCAATATCGAAGTATGCGAGCGCATCTGCCAGAGAAGCAAACTCGGCTCTTGTTAAGCCCGAGGATTTCACGACAAAGTTCTTAGAACATGATGTATTAGCAATGAGTAAAACCGATCTTGGTAATCTATTTGGCAAAAAGCCAGTTCTTGTTACTTTATTCTTTACCTTGAATGAACTGTACACTGCATCGATTAGCAAGACGACGGCTTTCTTGCTGAATATTACGTCGGTTCTTCCAACAGGATCGCTTCTCCTAGTTGTTGATAGCCCGGGATCATATTCAGAGACCAAAGTTGGAACAGAAGAGAAGAAATATCCAATGAAGTTTCTGCTTGACCATTTTCTGATCGAGACACAGAAGTCTAGAGGAAAAGAGAGCATCCCTGACTGGGTTAAAATCCATTCCGAGGACTCTCAGTGGTTTAGATTGCCAGAAACCCTTCGATACCCGATTCCATTGGAAAACATGCGATACCAGGTACATCTTTACCGTCGCTCATAAAAAGAGCAGTTTCAATAGTAGCAATCAAAACAGGGACATGACTTTCGGGCGCGATATCATAATTCATTATTCATAGATCATGTCAAGGTAATCATAAAATGCCAAACCCACCACCCAACCCCCGTTGGTTAATACCGACTAAACATCAAAGGTACCAATGCGGTACTACTCCCATGGCCGAAAAATCCTACGGACTTCTTTGGGGATGAGCATGAAGCTCCCAACTGCAAAGGCTTGGGCCAGGCTGTCGATACCCGTTCTTTTTTATCTTGAGTCTTGCAAAATTCTTTACCAAGTTGCTTCAGGACGGCTTCCCTTGCCTTCTTCAAAGCAGTCATCCTCTTCTCAGGATCGTCAATTAATTCCTGTTGGGCATCCTCCTTCTCAAAGTTACGCTGAACGCCCTGGATGTTTGGATTGAAAGTCATTGGCTGTAATAACTCAATTGAAGGCGCAGCTATTGGTATTGGAGCTGAAACCTTTAGCTTTACCTCTTCATCGGGATCATCATCATCTTCATTTCTTTCTTTCTCCTTTTGCTTATGCTTGCGTCTTCGTCTACGATGATGCGACCTCTTTTTCATAAGCTTTGTACCAGTCATCGACGACTCCTTCGTATCAGCCAACGTCACCCCAGACAAAGTTTCAATAACCTCGGGCGCCTCCTCAATGTCATATAAATCACTTCCACTTTGATATTGCAAACTTTCAACACCAGATCCGCTAGGCTGCGATAACCATTCTTCACTTCCTCGACTATTTCTCGACGTCAGAGGCGCCAATGCCCGCTCCCAAGTCCCACCATTAATCAACGACGTATTCTCAAAATCGAATTCTTTTACCGTATGACGATGTTCATAGACAAAATCTGCGACTTGCTGTTCCGACATCGTAGCATTCCTCACTTGCATATATCGCAATTTTGGAAATACCATCGGTGGCCTTGGAGGAGCAGCTGGTAATGGCGACATTGGGGACGTCACTTCTCCAAATAACTTCACCGTCTTTCTTGGAGGTGCGAATAGTGGATCTCTAGATAAAGAGAATGGGCAAGGACCTTTCCTTCCATGCCATCCAAAACTCACTTTCTCCAAATGCGACGCGAAATTTCGAATATAATCATCGAGAATTTTCAAATGATCGCGACCAGGTAATAAACTCTGGAAATCCCATGAATCCATCGTAATACTGAGTTTCCGTATTTGTCTCCATCGTCGTCCTGCAGATGGTGTACATCCGAATCCAGGCATGTGGCGCAAATATTGAAGTCCAGATGGATGAATGTGGATAGACAATTTCTCCAACTTTAGTAACGGTGCTCGCTCAATGGAAATACGCAAGCTTATAAGTGCATAATCCACAATGTCTCTCCTATACCTCTGTGCCGGATCTTGATCTGGGCATGAAATTGTCAGATGACGTAGATTGGGTATATGAGATAGCGCTTTAATAAACGCGGAGATATTTGTCGCGGCGTGGAAGAGTGGTGAATATTGTTGCGTTAATATCTCACCTAGTTCTGGACATCCGTATTTCGGACGTCGATTACTAGGTCTTTCATCGTGAGAAGCCATGCTGGTATGAGGAGTATACAAAAAGCTAATCTCCTGACCGGTGATGGGGTTTAATAAAGGAGGCAAAAATGTAGCATTGGTATGCGGCATGTAGAATATGAGGTGTTGGATATATTTTCCAATCCGGGAGAGACCTTCCAGACGAGAGGGACGGGTGAGAGAGGTAGGAGTAAAAGTTAAACGGGTTCGGAGAAAAACGTCACTGGTGATTAAAGTGCAGATTTCCTTGGATAAAAGGCGGAGGGAACATCGCGAGGAGGTGTCTAGGTGGGCGAGAATATTGCTAAGGATGCTGTGGGATCGCCATAGGCGGTTGGCTGTTGTGCTAGTGGTGGCCATAACTTGCGCATATCGTTGGGGAAAGAAATTGGAGGAATAAGATGTCAAGTCCTGCTTGATGTTGATACTTAGATGTCGTCGGTAATCCTTTGAAGTGGGTTATAAATGAAGATTTGGTGGTTGAAAGATCAATTGAGACGGGAAGTCCAACTGGCTCCAGATACCAAACGAATGAATAGACAATTCCAAATACCCTCGTAAGGATATAATCCCTCTCAATTACAGTGATAATGGCAATAACAATAAGGATGAAAAGATCCCTCGTCCTCATCAACTGCAATTGAACAAATAGTGTAACCGTACCACCTCAAAAAATTCAATCACAAATCACAAATCCACCTCAAATAAAACCCAAAAATTTACAAAACAAAAAGAAACAACCTCAGTCCCTCCCCCTCCTCTATATACCTCCAATTACTCCACCTAACCCGTACCAAAATCCCTCCTCCCCAATCCAAATCTCCATATCCTTCAATCCTTCAATCCTTCTTCCCGTCCCCCAAAATCCCGCACAAAAAAATCCATCCAACCCGTCCCACCCATACCACGAACAACCCTCTGACTCACATCTCATCATCTCACCCCGAAGTCGATGCACAAGCACAAGCACAACATCTTAGGTGCACTGATCATGACTGCACAAAGTATCAAGTAATATATGAACGATTTGATTTGTTAACGCGACTGTACACGCGAAACTCGCGAGATTGTCGCGAAATTGTCGCGATTTGTATGTGTGGGTGCCGCAGCGATAGTTGCGATTAGTGGATGGGATGGGATGGGATGGGATTTTGTATGTATATGTATAGGTATGTATGTGTAAGGGTGGAAAGGGGCAATGCGTATGGATATGGATATGGGGGGATCTTGGCGAGAGGGTTGGTTTTGGGTCTTGCTGCGTGCGGGGGAGTTTTGTTATTGGGTACCTAGTATGTAAGTCTTATACGAAGTATATGTGCGATGCGTAAATCTTACGGGGGAAGTGTTTCAAGAATAGGTAGTGATTGGATTGGAAGGGAGGGTTTAGGAGGGGTTTGCCGTATTTCCTAGAGGGAGGCGATGTGAGTTGTGGTTGGAGCCAAATAACTCGGGTATTATTCCGTAGACGAGAATGAAGGGGTTGCATTGAATTAATTGGATCCACGCACCTTCAGGTTATGCACCTATTGCACCATACTCCGCACTGATGTACTCCGTACTAAGCTTAAAACCACGCGTGGGATAAACGCGAAAGATACGCGCTTGTTTTGAAGTTTAACTATAATCACTATTAGGTATTTAACCTTACTCAGTATCTTGACATCATATCATATCATATTATCGTTTTGTCTATCCTATATATTTTACATACTAATCATGATATCATCGTGTCTTGAATTATTTATAAAGTAATAACTTTAACCTCCGCATTCATCCCACCCATAACTAATATTAAATAAACTTAAAGATATAACAAGAAAAAAATATAATCTTTAACAATTTTTCATTTATCTCCATCCAACCAATCAACCAATCATCAATTATCAACCAACCACCCTCAAATCCATGGCCAAACCCAAATTAATGACCCTGAACACGATAGGAGTTTCTACGCTTCTATTATACGTTCCAAGCCGAATGAAGATTAATGATCGAGATTTGGCAAATGATACTCTACACATACACGCGTTAATTACCTACTTATACATACTTTTCTTCCCTGTTTAATAATGCATTAATTAAGATTATTTCTTCTTTTCGCGCGCAGCACGCTTCTTCATGCACTCACGCGTTCACGTACCGCCTCACATATTCACGCATCCATCCATCCATCCAAAACTGCAGAAGATAAAAAAAAAACGAGTGAGAAATCGATGTCATTATTTCTATACATCAAAATTTCTCCTCCGAACCTCCTCCTATGCTAAGATAAACCCCTGTTATGCACTCTTCAACATCGCGTATACTGTCATAACATCCATGCCCTATCATTTCTTAGATCCTATCCAAATCAAACTCCTTCTTTACTCCACCTACTTATCCATCCATGTATTCATTCATCCACCCACCCACTATCTCCTCTCATCTCTCATCCTTCATCTTTCATTATTCTGTCATGCCAATATTCGAACTTCCAACCTCAAATTCCAAACAATTCCACACCCATCCATCTGAAATGAAATGTTCTCCGACTGTTTCGCAAATAAAAAGTTTAAATAAAAAGAAAAGGCCAAGCAATCATACCGAACAACCATGTCCAGTGAACTTTTGTATCAAATCGTCTCATTGGTCTTCCCGTGTTCGCTCCAAACGCCATGATAAAATATTTTTAATCAAATAATTGATGGGCCTAAGACCAATGATTTCCCTCGAGATATAACTTCGGAGGCTTTAGCTAGATAAAGAAAATTCGTGTCATTCGAATCGCGCGCTATAAATATTAAAATGCTTACTCGTGTATAGTGAGCGGGGTATCCTGATGAAAATACAAAGATGTGTAGAATGCAAAATTAAACGAGTTATATTTGTTGTGTTGCGGTTATGCTATGTAGTGGTGGAAGGTAAGGGTGGTGAAGGGGTTCCGTTGGTTTTGACGAGTTCAGTAACGGAATTTGCCGAGGGAGTGGATGTCGAAGTAGATGTTGGGCCTGTGTCTTGTTTCGAGGCTTGACCTTTTTCGGGTGTGCTTTTACGGGTGAGGGAGGAATCTTCCGTCTCTTCCGGAATGGTGGCAAACTTCTTAAGAACTTGCTTGAGAGCTGGTCGCCGAATGGGTTTGCTGAGAATGATTAGTTTCTGGCTGTAGTTAAAGTAGGTAAATTGAGAACAAACCTTAGGAAATGATCCATTCCCGACTCATAGCATTCTTTAACATTGCTCTCTTCGGCGAAGGCAGTCAATGCTACAATTGGAGCAGAATAACCCATTTCTCTGATTAATCTCGTGCTTTGCAGTCCATCAAGATTTGGCATTTGTATGTCCATGAAAATCAAGTTGAAGAATTTGCCTTCTTCCATACTTTGCTTTACCATGTCGTATGCCTCCTGACCATCCTTGGCGATTACCACATCATACACATCCTCAAGTTTAAGCATGCGAAGAACCACCTCTTGATTGACAAGATTGTCTTCGGCAACCAAAACTCTTATTTTCTTGCCCCCGGATTTCTCTTTGGTAGCACGATCAAGTGCAGCGAGTTGAGTTTTTGCGTTGTCCTCGTTAGGTGGGGGTGTAGGGGATGATGTAAAAAAAGGTTGTCTTAGCCCAACTAATCGAGGTTGAGTATCCATAGAATACCCAACGCCACTAGATCCCTTTCCAGGGGAGCCAACAGCAGTCGACGTATCAATAGAACCCTTGGGGGTATGACGATCGAATTCTGGTTGTGAAACTACGCTTGTTGGTCGAGAGCCAATAACATCTGAACTAGAAGTACTTGGCGCTCGCTCCTTGATGAATCTCAATGGTATTTGAACATTGAATGTGGAACCTTCCCCAAGTGTACTGACGAGAGAAATAGAACCTCCCATAAGGCCAGCTAATTGAGAGCAAATACTCAACCCTAGCCCTGTTCCTCCGTATTTCCTGTTTAATCCCAGATCAGCCTGTACGAAAGGTTCGAAAACCCGCTCCTGTAGATGCTCTGGAATGCCAGGCCCGGTATCCTCAACCTCTATTGAAAACCACAAAGTCCTAGAATTACTAGGTGGCGGAGTAGCCGACCTCTCGTTTAGCTGGATACGAGCTCTTGGGTCCATAGGATTGATCACAAGTGCAGTACCAGATGGCTTGGCACCAGATGTCGTCCGTGATAATTGTCCGCACAAATACGTTGAAGTGTGCCCTGAAGCATTCGAGCCAGAGCCATTGCGACCCCTAGCATTTTTCCTTTGCGAGCTCTGCTTCGAACCCATGGAATTTCGGCTATTAATACCATCAGGTGATGATTCTAATTCACCCATACATCTGATTCTGACTTCCACTTTACCCCCTGGTGGTGTGAATTTGAGACTGTTGCTGACTAAATTGATTATGATTTGGAGAATCCTGTGTTGATCTCCCCATAAACACATGTCCTTCAATCTACCAATACCATTAGGGCCGAGAGCTGGTAAGGGCTTTCCGGTTGGGTTCTCAATCGCGGATCCATCCGTACTTTCGGTACCCAAGAAGTGAACTCCAAAGTTGATGCCGCCTTCGTCCACTTGTTTTCGAAATATGTTCTTGATTTGCTCTTTGACATCAGACAGACGAAATTCTTTTTCTTCCAAATTCAATTGTTGCCCAATTTGATTCTTACTGAAAGTCAAAAGATCATTCAGCAAATTCAGTAAGAGATCGCCAGATTTATAAACCGTCTTTAATGAACGTTTGATACTTGGCAAATCATCTTCACCCATGCATACAGCACACAATCCTAAGATGCCGTTCAATGGAGTTTTCAACTCATGAGAGATGTTGGCAATGAATAACGTCTTGCTCTCATTTGCGGCCTCTGCAGCCTTCTTAGAATGTTCGAGTTCTTCTGTGCGCTCAGCCACCTTGGATTCGAGACTCGTGTATTGTAGCAATAACTCGTCGCTCATTTCGTTAAATTTCGAAGTCAAATCAGTAAGCTCGTCTTGTATCAAATGCTTTCGTTCTGGGACCTTTCCGGGAATCTTGAAATCTCTTCGTCTATCGGCCTCCGATTTTTCTTCTCTCGGCACGCGCCGACCTGGATGTGTTAATCTTCGCAACCGAACTAAGAACCCCGTCTTTTTAGATCCGCTCGAGTTATTCTCGACGGCTTCTAGGTCACCGTATGGCTCGTCATCTATACTTGGACGAGGAGTGTAGCCGGGCGGTTGAATGGATTGTTTCGTGGCATCTCTTATCCTTCTGATCGGACGAACACTGAAATGAGCCATTGGTATAACCTTGTCATGATTAGCAACTTTGAATGGAAATAACTCATCTAATTCGCTAGAGAATGAATGGCCTCTAAACAATAGTCGACGCTAGAAGATGAATTGTATAAAGAGTGCATTGAAAATCATGAGTTAACAACTTACCACAAGGAGAATCAACCCAAATGTGCCAAAAACACATGCAAGTAAGATATTCCGGAGCTTGATGATGGGTTCCCAAGCTTCAGAATGAGCTTGTTCTACTAACAAAAGCCAATCAACCAAATCACTCTGTGGTCTCGCCCAACCTACAGCAACTTTTGCTCCTTGCTCGTTTGTGGTTGTGATATAACTACTGGCATTATTGACTTTCGGGTTCCGTTCTCCGAACCCATGTAAAATGGCCGGATATTGACCTTCGCTGAAGTTTGAGGTTCCGTATTTAGTTAAGTTCGAATTGTAGACCGAATGTCTATCGGTTTGTCCAACGAGAGGATATGGGGGAAAGACATATTTGACAGTCGCTTTCGTCAAGTTATGGAGGCTGGGTTCGTAGGTTGCTGTAGCTGGTCTCTTTGCGTATGAAAACTGGTTTTCTCGCCGATTAGTTCCCACTATCAACACTATACCTGTGTTATCTAAGCCCTCTCGAGAGTAAACAACATCAATCAGCGAAGTTGCAGCTGCTACTACAGTCATATAACCTAATACGTAATCGGGGTTCGAGTTCGCAATGATGGGCAGTGTCAGTGATACCAAAGCATAAGTACTGTTAATCTGCAGAGGCCCTAGAAGAAGGGCGGCACTTTTGTTGAGTGGATAATCGGCGAATGCATATACCTCTGTAAAATTCGTCCCCGGATCATTTGGGTCGGAGCTTGTGGTTGGAATATACGAAATATTCGGGTACAAACTCGGTGGGTAGCCCTGATCGGCATCGCCTAGAAAAGCGGGCTGATCATTTGAGTTATTATAGGGGAGTTGAATATCTGCAGCACCTCCGCGCGATCAGTATACGTTGTATCTATGAAGGAAGGCAATCTACCGGATGCATTAGCCGTGACATTCAATATCCCACTGGCTGAACCCGTCTCATTCCTCGAGAAGATAATGACTTGAAGTAACGCAGATAGTCCACCAGAAGCTAAACCACTTTGAACATCGTCTCTTGCTTCAGCCCAATTGGGCTTTCCTTGATAAAAGTCACGAATAGCCTGCTGGATAAGAATCCTAGTGACAATTGTTGAACATGTGGCCCGGATTAAGAGTAAATCAGAAGCAACCGAAGCAGCTTTGAGGGATGCGGTGAGACTGAGTGCATTCTCTTTGACGTTGACTGTGAAACTGTAATTATTGAACCAGGTAGCAAGAGCAAGCACAATCAATGGAACAAGAGAAGCCAGCAGGACGACCAGGCCAAGTTGCAACCTGATACCAATCCTCATCTCCAGACCGTTGTATATTTACTCGCACAAGGAATCGAGGAGTATGTCTAGGTGTTGATTTGAACCAAATATCCGTCCTCGTAATCGGATGATTCGGAACACTCCCAAACAATTCCCTCAATAGTATTATTTCCTGTCGTACCAATTCGATTTACCCTCTGTAAGATATTTCCAATTCATCAGGAGTATTGCATTGGCCAAAGGAGTCGTCGAATTATTTTCCGGAACGTTGCCGCGCAAGCTCTACTAGCTTATGTCCTTCCTCCAAGGTGCCGAAAAACTCCAGCCCGCGGTGGTGCTCGAGTGGTTGAAATTTTCGTCAATGTATCTGTCGCATATTCAATATATCTGCATCGCGCTGAAGAGAATAGGTGGTCTGGGCTGGATGGAGATGGCTGCTGAGAGAAAATAGGATGAGTAAAGGTTAAAAGCTATCGCGGAAGAAAAGACGTGGTGACAAATGTGGATTGATTAAAGAAAGACTTGCTTCTAGAGTCGGCTATGGCTGCGGCTGGCCTTTTAGACTTCACACTAGGATTATTATATAAAGTTTTGATCACCGTGAACCCCACAAGGGAAAAGTCAAATAAACGATAAGGTTATGCTTCGTACAATGGAGTTACATGTACGGAGTACAGAGAGAGCCAGATTAATATGGATATACAGAGTAGAGCGTTTAGAAACATTTATCAACAGCGCGGTGCCCTACACTATTGAGATCCGTCCCACTTACTTATTGTTCTTTTCCATGCGATTGAATAGATCCGGATTTCGGACGAATTGAATTAATACTACGTAAATATCATATTCAAGAACTAAAGCGAGATTATAAAATTCATTGGCTCAACGATCTAGACCTGGTCAAAATTAATTTAGCATGACATAGGTATTAGGGACTAACCAAAAGAAAGTTGACGAGTGTGAAAAATTCTAGAACTATTCACTTGGTGGTATGTACTCGGTAAAGAATATATCTACATAGTACAGAAGATCTGAAACATTTCTATAAGAATTAGCCCTTCTTATTTATACAGCTCTGTTATTACGAACATTGAAACTTTAATTTTCGATATTAAATCCTTATGTTGTATTCTTTCTTTTTTTAACAAGCATAAATTGTCTAAAATTGGTCATCTTAAAAACATAATACAGCAAAGGAAGGGAAGGGAAGGGAAGCGAATCTGCGATCTGTCAAAGCATGGGCCACTCATTCTCACGGACAAGTGAACAAGACAAGTCTGCTAGTTTGGCATAAGTCAAGAGCTTTTCCCACTCCACCTAAAAGTGAATTGTCCCGTTCCAACCTTATAAAATTGAATATGAGGTTTTGGTATCGGAAAACAAAAGGGACAATTTCCTTTCGAGAGATATTCGCTTTCCCCGACTACGAAGTAGTCGGCCTTCCAAGTAGCCGACTATTACCGTAGGATATATATCCTTAATTTGATCAAAATAATGCATGCACAAACTATATTTATCGCCTTCGGCGTGCTTTTGATGTTGTATTCCATTGATTACTTCTGAAAAAATTAATTGTCTTCATCCTCCGAATCCTCTTCCTTGTCTTCCCCGTCGTCCTCCTCGTCGTCATCCTCATCCTCATCGTCATCCTCGTCGTTATCCTCATCGTCCGATGGGAAATCCTCATCTTCCTCTTTCGCGTTTTGTTGACGCTTCGTCATACTCACAATTTCGTGTCTGCTCTCAACGACATTAATCACGCCGCATCCGCTAACCACATCGGGAACATAGAGCGAAATGTCCCTCACTCTCTTGATATATGAGGTAACAAACGCATCCGTAACCATCACCTTTATGACAAGGTCTTTCCTCTTCCTAAAAATCGTTTTCAGCTTTTCGATGACCTTTTCTTCCCCCTTCCCCCTGAGGTATGAGAGAGAATCAATAATAACAAAGGCCATGTCGTCCCTTGGCAGTGACGAGAGTAGTGCATCCAGCAGCAAGAGTCCATCGTTAAGATTCTTCTTCGCTTTCGAAAAGAGCTTCTGGTATTCCAATGGCGAGAGGTCTATGAAGGGCCGGTGATCAACGATGAACCTAAGAAGTTGGTCTGTCAGACTCTTGACGAGAGCGACGGAGCTCGGGTTTTCCATAGAGGAAGACTCGAGATTTCTATGTCTACAGAAGAAAGCGAGCACCGGGAATTGATTTGTGCTTCGGAGGATTGTGGCGATCAGCGCACTGTTCAAGGAGACTGGGTTGTTCAGGGAAGTGGTAGGTGTCTGGAGTTCGATATCAAGAATGCTCGATTTCTCCTCTTGGAGCCACTGGGTATGTTCTTCCGAGTGGAGGATCCACTGAGATATGTCCTTCTCGTCAGAGTTAAGTAACGCTATGTGCTCGAGACAGTCCTTCATATCCATCATTGGGTCGTAAGCAGATCCCTTGAATCCTTTGAGCCATTTCGACGCTAAACTAGTGTTTTTCTGCTTGAGAAAACACATTAATATCGCATTTTGTTCTTGTTGGGATTTTATTGCTTCATGATTCACTATCATCGATGATTATTAGCAGTGATGCTATTGCAAACCGGATTGGACAGGGAACTTTACATCCACCACTCTTAGCATTGAAAATCGGATTGCTAGCGCATAGATGATAGAAAGCGTCTTTTACTGAGGACATAATTATCCTACGAGTCTTCCTTTCATTCAAGTCAAGTTCTGTTGCGACCTGCCTCCAGGACGTAACCATCATATCCTTTATCTCTACCGAGTCAAAGTTAGGGAAAATCCGAAACCGAAAGTATTGACTAGGAACCCACCTCTATTTTGGTCCGCGATAAACGTCACGCTATTATTGACACCGCAAAGGTCCCTTTCGACCCGTCCTAACCTTTCCTGATCGCATATATTGACTTCCGCTTGGAAATTTTTGATTTTTTCTTGCAATTGCTTCAATGCACTGGTTACACTCAGCTTCTGCTCGCGGTCCTCTTCATTAGGGTGTGACAATGGCAACTTTTGGACCACCTTTTCGGTTATTTTCGCTGCGATCTGTCAGTCATATCTCTTCGGACAAACCCACGAACGATTTACCCATCCATGACTTGGTGATCTTATCCAAAATACACTCTAGAACAGTAAATATGGCGACTATAATAGCATCTGCACATGTATGTAATTGGATGGAGGCTTGATGTATTCCCGATAAGCGCTGGATAGTTTCCAATCTCGGGAATTTCTGCTAACCAGTTCTGAATTTCTTCGCGCTTTTTCACGTGTTTCTCGATGGCCTAATGCGATGGCATAGGTCAAATTTCAGATCATGCCTAGATACACGTGGGGTAAATCATAGACTTGCAGCTAAAATCAAAGTAAAACCTCCAGAGATCACGGAACCATAGATGTCATCAGGGATCATAGTGAGGAACCCTTCAATGACGTCTTTGTTGCCTTCTACTTTCCGGTAGCAGCTCTTGATGAACTTCTTGCATAATGTTGTCTTAGAGGGATGCTCACTGGCTTTTCCCAGACCGTTAATAATCTCAAGTATATAATCCATTGTGAACTCGCTTGGATCCTTGATGACAACGTTGAGTTTGGATCCTACATTTCTGTCCTTGAGCATAGCGGCAAAATTCGCAAGTGTGGAACGGAATTTTAACATGCTCTTCTTAGACTGATTATAGAGTTTGGCGGTACTGGATGGAAAATTCCGTTAAAAGAAAGTCCACAGGAAAATGAAGACAGAAACCTACTCTACGACGGTCCCTCTAGGAGCAAAACGGTCGATCTCGGGAATAAATTCGGGGTTATTCTGTAAGTCATTGAACTCTCGTGTCGAATCGTCAAGTTGAGATAGTAACTTCATGTCCATTCTTCTCTCGACGAATTCAGCCGCAGAGTTGGTGAGAGTTTTTCGGCGAAAGACCACGGGGCTCAGAGGCTCCATGGCTAGCACGTATATCGAGACGATGTGTCGGCGAGCAACTCCTTATTCTGGAGCAGATAACCAGTGGCAGGGAGTAAGAACCCTTCTTTCACCTTCGCACAATTTTCGCGGTATTAGGCTCTTGCTATTTCTCTGTGGTTTTCTAGAGAAAGTCGGATAATTAGCGGTTCTCCGAGAGGATGAAGTTGAAAATAGGAAGTGAAGTTTAAAAGAAGGAAGTTACCACGAGGTTGAAAGTGCTATTCTTAAGGATACACCTTAGCTAATACGGTACACGTCGTGATATTATTGTGGAAGGACCTCTCTTTATCCAACCCTTTGGTATATGTAGATTACTGTGGAAGGAAACTGTTTCTTTTACCTGGATATTACTTCGAACAATCCGCTAACCTTAGATGACTGATTTCAGCCTAAAAAACAATTCCTGAGATAACGAATACAACATATGGCCGATGACTGATTTTAAATGCTAGTGATTTGAAATGTAGAGGATTGCTACTACATAATTCTGTTACTGTTACGCCGAGTAACAGGAAACTCTCACGTGCAATCAATATCACGTGATTGGCTCAGTGAGGATCAGTGAGCCCAGTACTGAGCTGCATTGATCCTACTGAGTAGCCATCGGCACGAAGGTCTATATAATCAAGATGGATTTCCTTTGTATAGAGCTTCGTGCTCAAGATCAATCATTTAGTATACTCCACTATTAGTTACGAATTGCATTATTGTCATTACTTTAAGTCCCTGCTTGACGCCTAGTTATAAACCACCTCGAGAGCCTAGAGCACTTCCACGTGATCTAGACGGCAACCCTCGTAACAATTGATCCACCTTGCTGCAGATTCTATCATCCGGAAGCAGGAAACAGAAAAGTCTTAATCCATGTTTGGAAAGGTGTAAATTGAAGTAGCCGAAAGGACTGGACTTTGTTGCTATTGCGTACGACCAGTAGCATTGTGGAGTCCGGTCTAAAGGCTAAGGACGAGGAAGTGGACGTGGACGAGGACGAGGACGAACCTAGGATGCCACCTACTAACATTCCGCCCTCCGAAATTGGCGATTCCATGATTGATATTTCTGTCAAATTCTTCAATTCGGCAGCGTACCTGAAAGAGGATGGATCATATCCAAAACTTCACGATGAAATCGAGAAGGGCACCTTCACGTGCGACCACGACACTCAGCATCTCATCCGAGTGTTATACTCTAAAGTTAAAGGTAACATGACAGAGCCAAGTAAACAGGCGGATTCCACGCCACCTAATGATAACGATATCGACATCTTGACTTTTGGTGTCTCATCGGAGGCCATTGCTCTATTCTTTCAGAAACAATTGGGTATTAGTGCGGAGGATGACCACCTGATCCGATTTGGAAAACCCTTTCGACCACTGATCAGAAACCTTGGTCCTGTTAGAGAACAATTGAAGAGGCTGAAGAGTCTTCACGGGTAAATTTACATAAATGCGTGACTACCCTATTTGCTGACGATAGTATACAGTCTAGTGATGATCGGAGGTGTGGAAAAGACTAGGACAGCCTTCGACAGCTCAACTGAGGCACCAGTTACAACATTAAACCGCGAGGAAAGCGATCTTCTACCTTTTGCAACCACCAAGAGCAGTGGAGATGACGAAATTCCAGCCTATGACCGGTCTACAGCCCTTCTCCACTTTCAAGCCTTCTTGTCCTTCATCGATGAATTTTTCGGCAAGAAAATCCAATTATATGAGCGCCTTCGCAATGGCGAGGAGCATCACATAGCCTTTGAGAACCTCTGGATGTTATTCGACACCGATGATACCATATATTGCCCGCTTCGCGAAGCAACATCAGAAGAACATGCTAATTCCGAAGGTGATGATGATCATACTCAAATTCGACGGTATACTCCGCAAGCTTATCGAGTGGTGGCTACTTCTGGAGGCATGCCTTTGACGAGAACCATGGCTCCTGTACTGAAAGTAACGATTGAGGATGATGTCGTTGCTCCTGGTCCAGTTAGCAAATCCTCCATGAAGGCAAATGTCAAGACTCTCGCGGATATACTGACGCAGACGGCCAAGATTTCAAGAAACATCAGAGGTAACTATTCAGACTTCAAAGTATATTGCTTCTACATAGACTTCGACGGAGTTGAATTTGGTATGGTTCAGGATTTATTCATTTTCAATCCCTACGAGCGCGAAATGAATATTCATGATCTCGAAGCATATCCCGTAAACTATAAGTTGTGCGAAAAGCTGTTTCACAACGGTGAAAAGTTTATTGATGCCACGAGAGTCTCTCACCTGCAGTACGAAGGGCTGACCGTTGGACCAAGTCGAGAAGAGATTAGTCTGACCACGTCTATCTGCACAGGATAAAGTCACCAATCTGACATGTTGAGATAAAGATTAATAGCCCGGTTGTGATAGACATGAAATTGGCATTTGAAGGCGGGTCCAGCACGGATAAATCGTTCATTGAGGTCCCAGAATTTAAATCGCTCTCATCTCTCTGGTTGTACAATTCAAGAATGGAGACTTATGAGCTCCTTGGGAAATCGGATTACTCTTGCTCTAATAAGTGGTGCTACAATCAGGACTGCACGTCAAATGTGTACGTTGAATCACAGAAAACGCAGCGGAACAAGATTCAGTCAAAGATTGAACTCGTACTCGAAGAGTATGAAAGCGAGAAGAAGCAGCAACACAAGGACGACGTGGGATGGCTAAAGAAACTTATGGCGGATAACGACATTATCACACTCTTACCAGGGGCAGTACCGGGCTTCGCTCTGAGAAATCGAAAATGGGGTTAGTACAATTGTTCCAACGCACCCAATCACAAAGTTTGGTCGCTGACATAATTCACAACTAGTTCTTCTCAACCTCGCGCAACTCAGGCCTCTTGAGCAGAGCGATAGTTGGGAGAATCTTGTTCTTCCCCGGGGACATCGAAAGATGGTTCAAGCCATGGTAGAGACCCACACACAAAATATCAGCGCCAACAAGGACGTCAACGTCGGAATGGATTTGGTGCAAGGGAAAGGTGAGTGACTCGAATTTTATTAAAATATTCGTTAGCACTGCTAAGAATTTTCAAGGGAGAGGATGCGTTATCCTCTTGCACGGGGTGCCAGGAGTTGGCAAGACTTCTACGGCTGGTAAGTGCAGATAACTCCTCTAGTAAATGAGCATACTGATAGATGAACCTATATGTAGAATGTGTCGCTGCTTATACTAAGAAGCTACTATACTCTATCACCTGCGGTAATTCGAGCCCCTGCCGTTCTGTATTTTTAGGAAAATTTACAGTGACACAGCAAATACTGAATCACTTGGCAAATAGGTGACATTGGCGTTGAGCCTCGAGAATTGGAAAGAAACATGGATAATCACTTCAAGCTGGCAAATAGATGGGGCTGTGTACTTTTGCTCGATGAAGCAGGCGTGTTCCTTGCCAAACGTGATGTGCGTCAACTCCCTTTTGCGACTTGAAAGACACAGGTACTTACTCCATATAGCAAAAAGATATACAGAGAAATGGACCAGTTTCAGGTAAGCTTTCAAACAGACCACACACCTCCACGATCATTTATAGATCATGATGCTAACATAAACCTAGCGTTTCTGCGCATGCTGGAGTACTACTCTGGAATCCTATTTCTCACCACGAACCGAGTCGGAGCCATTGACGACGCATTTCGTTCGCGTCTGCATCTAACTCTCTACTACCCCAAGCTCACAAAGAAGCAAACGAAACAGATTTTCGAGCATACTTTTCAACGAATCGCCGGCATAAACGTCGATCGCAGGAACAGGAATCTGCCAGCATTTGACTACGTAAACTCGGAAAAGAAAATCATGCGTTGGGCCGAGGATACCTGGAAGGAGCTGAGATGGAATGGCCGCCAGATCCGCAACGCATTTCAAACTGTCCTCGCACTATCTGAATTTCATGCTAAGAGTAGCAATAGCGAGTCAACAAGCCCGATCATAACCAAGAAAGATTTCAAAATCGTTGCTAGTGCCTCTATCCAACTCAATCAGTATCCGTTAGCGACCCACGGTCAAGACGAAGATTCGATGGCAGGACGCGAGACCATGAGAGCAAAGAACTACGCGCCCTCCCCTGAGATGGCCAAGTTATTTTACTCTGGTTTCAGCTCGGAGGGGGAAGATAGCAGCGATGAGTCGAAAGCCTCTACCGATTCAGATGAATCAGATGATTCCGAAGCCAGAAGGAAGAAAAAGAGCAGTAAGAGAAAGAAGGAAAAGAAGTCGAAGAGTAGTAACAAGAAAAGCAAGAAGATCTCGGAGAAGGATGAAAAATCGGAAAAGAAGTCTAAAGAAAAGAAAAAGGAAAGAAAGAAAAAGAAGGAGGAAACTGAAGAAAGTGAAGAAAGTGAAGACTCTGACTGAATCCGCTTCTGAAACCCCCAATAAACAACTTTGGAGGCTTTTAATAGTAGATTAGATAGCCATATTGATGAAGTGCCTGTTTCCATATTTCCATTTTTCCATTTTTCCACTTTTCCACTTTTCTATTTTAACAATCCACTCTCATACACTTCTATCTCTTTGAATAAATGATTCAATACATGAACGAATGAATACAATCCGACATCGAAGTTCACTGTTGAATCCTTTTTTGGAGGTTTTGGCGGAGGTTTTGGCGAAGGTTTCGGCTAACTTTATCCATGGGGTTTAACATCAGGGCTAAAAAAGTGTTCCGGAAGATTCTGCATTTATGTATATTTCTACTATTTATGACTGCTAAATTAGCCACACTAAAAATACGAAATTATTGATTTCTTTTCTCGAACCGCCAGCTTTCCACCTCATATAATGAAGATGTCCTAGACTGTCCCAAAGGACCATAGAAAGGCGCCGTCATGATGGAAAGGTGAATCAAAAGCGAGGCAAATCTCTCCCTTTTCTAGATTATCTTCGACACTTAAGAACTCTTCTTAAAGGTGTCGGTGAGACACAGCAGCTGCATTAGAACCTGATGTATCAGAATAGCCGAAGCAGCTATAGATAAACTGCAGCAGTTGTTTATTCGGGAAGCATGTCACAAAATGGGCAAGGGGGTTAAAGCTTTGCAGTTCGTAACCTTATCATGCTATAAAATACTCGGTTGGTAAATCCCCGAGTCAAAGAATCGGGATAAGGTGTGTATGAATAGAGCTGGATCTCTTAGAAATGAAATCCGGATCTTATTTGATACATTTTAGATTTTCAAATATAATCAAATCTTGTTGACCTCCTGGGATCTTGGCAGCATATGCATATATAGTACATATGCATATAAGGAGCAAACAAAACTCAACTTTTAATTCATTCTTTCCTTTTTGGTATACTGTTTGTTTGCTTTCAATATTTTGATTTCAAAGCACTTTAATTCCGAAGGCCGAATACCCAACCTATTCCTTCATTTTTTTGAATATATGCTCGCAGCTTAACTGCTTAGCTAGAGAATAAGTCAATTCAATCTGATGCTCTTTCTAGTCTCAAGAAACCCAACAAATCTTTATAATCTTTATAATCTTTAATAAAGAAAAGTGTTTTGAAAAATAAATAACCTGAATGTAGGGTACAGATTGTTAGGGATTTTAAAACTCTAAGATTCTTAAACTACCTAGAAGACTATTTAAAGTAAATACATTGGTAGCGCCTGCTATCTTGATTGTGTTCTATGCATCGCATACATCACACCTGCCTGTAGCGGCTGTCGCTACACTAAATATAAGATATTAAACTTATTTATTTCCCACCTCTCGATATTCTAGAATCATTTATTTCTAACAACCTTCAAAGTTTACTTTCTGTCAATATTCAATCGTATATATTGAAATTAACTCTACGACTTATAAGATTATATTGGTGCTGTAAAATATAGTATGCAAGTGGCAGGGTCGAGCTTTATATTATATTTAAGCTTAAGGTTTATTGATATTTATCATCTTCGGCTGATTCGGTTAGGGTATATAAGTACAGAGTTGTGAATCGTAAATATTTTGTTTGTGTATATATGGTCTGTTAAGTATCTCAGGTGATTTGTGAATATTTTGAGGTTTTGTTATAAGTGATGCGCTGATGGTAATTCCTTTTGAAGCGTATTGGGCCTCTCGGACGGTGTGTATAGCGGTAGTCACGACTGCTCGGTCTCTCCCATTTTGCTCTTTTGTTGGAAAGTGGAGAGGATTTTGTGTTTATACATGCAATGTTGTTAAGTATGGATATGAATTGAAATATCCAAGTAGTTTTCCTCTACCATACATTTTGTCCCTCGCTCTCAGTCCTTCGCCCTCAGCCTCACAACCCATGATCTATCATCTGTCCCTCAACCCCTCTCTCGACAACCCCAGGCCCCGCCATCTCCATCTCATAGTCAACATCCGGCTGCATCTCAGCATACAACGCATTCTTCTCACTTGCCATTTTAAAATTATACGCCGCCTCCTCATCACTAATAACATGAACGCCTTTCTTCAACTGTCCATTCTCATCTCTGGTTCCACCTACAGCCGCTTCAACTTGCAATTGTATCTGACATCCCCTATCTAATAATGTGAATAAGTATCCAGCTTCATCGACCGTGGATCCAGTGCTTAATAATCCGTGGTTTAGTAGAATTGCTACTTTATTGTGACTACCAAGGGCGCGGGCAATGTTGGCGCCTTCTTCGGCGGCGAATACGATGCCACCGTATGCAGCGTATACTGCGATGCTGTTGTGGAGGTTGCATATATCTTGGTTTAACATGTCGAGGGGGCGACCGAAGACGGACCTGAATGCTGTTAGGAGTAATGTTTGAGACTGTTTTGAAGGACTCACCATGCCCGCCCAGCATCTGTGTGTGCGTGACAAACAGCATGAACATCAGGACGTGCTTTATGGATTGCGGAATGGATCAAAAATCCAGCAGCATTAGCGGGACGAGACTGTTTACTTCATCCATCAGTAACAAGATTCTCTAATACGTCTTCAGTGCTAGCAAATAAAATAAAATCTCTTACCTTATTGCCTCCAACGACTTTCCCACTATCTAAATCCAGACATATCATGTCACCAGCAGTCATCAGACCAAAATGTCTTCCAAGAGGATTCATCCAGATGTAATTTTCAAACTCTGGGTCTCGAACGGAAATATGTCCTGCCATCCCTTCTGTGAAACCACGACGAGAAAAGTCACGGAAGACGGCTGCCATGTGGATGAGGATGTGATGGCGGTGGGCCTCGTGAGTAGGGAAGGTTGGGATACCTGGAAGGTTTGTTAATAGATGAATATGGAGCAGATAAGGGTAAATGGAAAAGTAATTCTCGGTGGTCTTGAGAGAGGAAGAGAAAGAATAAATCGGATCCAGCAGGGAGAATTTGTGGTTGCCCAGTGCATTCTGCGTGCCAAATGCACACAGACTATAACTCTTCACAAGGATAACCATCTCGCACTTTAAAGACAAGTCACCACATTACTGCTTCAAACCATCTCTTCGTCTCTTCCAATCCAAAGCCTCAACCCATCAATAAAACACTCGACTTCCGTGTTTAGACCCATACTCTTTCATCACAACACTCAAAAATAAAGAACTCTACCTCATCTTACCAGACATAAGCACACCTCCATGGCTAATAGCCTCTAGCGGCGTTAAATCATCTCCACCATGAATATGTTCAATTTTCTCATGCTCTTCAACCTGTACATCTCCTTCTCCAATCTTCTTTTGGGTTGAGAGGGCAGATTCGGTTGTTGCTGATGGTGCCATTTTAACCTCGTTGTATTCGATTTTTGTCTTGTTGATGATTAAATCCTCTCGTAATAATATATGATATTCACAGAGATGGATGTATAGAGCCGATTGCGGAGTAAAATAGATATATATCACCTGCTAGAGAAGTGCCAGCTAAATGATGTGGTTCAAGATGGCGATGATCGGCCGGTTACACACGGAGTGTTTCTGAATTTTCTGGATTCACTTATCATGTATGATAGGACAGTGGGACTATAGGATTAGAAGATGATAGGATGATACTTAGGTTACTGTTGGAGCTATCGGTAAAAGAATACCTAGATAATGTAGGAAAGTTGGATGATTAATCTAAAGTAAGTAGGTAGGTAAAGATCCGCAGTGATGTTATCGGAGGTTCTGATAACGATTTGAAGCAATAATGGGGTATGTAACCTTAAGGGATGCGGGGTAAATTTAGTAAGATGGACGACATACACGAGTATAGATAGGAAATTAAATGAGAACAGAGATGAAAATGAATTGTATTTACTCTTTTTGTGCATATTATCAATGGGTTATATCTATATCACATTCAGAAATTTTGATAGATATTAATAACGATATGACTTATTCGAGTAAGTTTTACATATTCAAAGTATCTTATCTAGAACACCTCTAGAATCTTAGAACTACTTGACGACCTAAAATGTTTGATATCTAAACAACTCGAGAATAATTCATTATTGACTTTGATTATTCAATGATTTATATAACGTGGTTTATCAGCGAGTCGCCACTATCAGCGAGTCGCCACTTTTTCAATATCTTTTATCATTCAATTTCAAGACGCGATATTTCAACGAATTATTATGGAAATACAATCAAAAGAGGCCAGAATAATCTTAGCTATTGAAGCTATTCAAAAATCAAAAAATCTTACAGTTGGAAAGGCTGCGAAAATCTACAAAGTCCCTCGAACTATATTACGAGATAGAATGGGCGGTCGAATTCACAGAATGGAAACTCGAGCAAATAATCTTAATTTGACTGAAAAAGAAGAAGAGGTGCTTATTCAGTATATTATCGATATGGATGAAAGAGGATTTGCATCTAAATTAAGTGGTGTAGAAGATATGGCGAATTATATTCTCGAATCAAGAGGTGCGAAGAGAGTTGGAAAGCTCTGGGCTCATCGATTCGTAAAGCGTTGTACAAAATTAAAGATGCGTTTTAGTCGTGTTTATGACTTTCAAAGAGCTCTCTACGAAGATCCCAAGCTTATTGAAGAGTGGTTTGGATTGGTATCGAATATGCGGGCGAAATATGGTATTCAAGATTGCGATTTCTACAATTTCGACGAAACCGGCTTTATGATGGGTATAATATGCCCTGGAATGGTTGTAACTAGTTCTGAAAGAAATGGCAGAAACAAGGCAATACAACCAGGCAATCGAGAATGGGCTACGGCAATTATATGTGGTAATGGAGAGGGTGAAACTATACCTCCATTTCTGATAGTTCAAGGACAAGTTCATCTTTCCAATTGATATACCGAAACCGATTTTCCTGCGGATTGGGCTATTAAACCTACTTCTAATGGATGGACGAATAATGAGACAGGTTTAGAATGGTTAAAGCACTTCGATAAATATACTAGTCAACGAAGAAAGGGCAAATATCGAATGTTAGTATTGGATGGGCATGAAAGTCATGAATCGATACCTTTCCAATCATATTGCAAGTCAAATGACATTATATGTGTAAAGTTACCATCGCATTCAAGTCATTTAACTCAACCACTTGATGTTGGATGTTTTAGCGTATTCAAACGTTCATATAGTTGTCAAGTTGATGAGTTTATCAAGGCATATATCAATCATATTTCTAAGGTTGAATTCTTTATAGCTTTCAAAGCTGCATATCAACAATCGATTACAATTCAGAATATGAAAGCTGGCTTTCGAGGAGCAGGACTAATACCATTTGATCCTCAAGCTGTGCTTTCGAAATTAGATATTCGAATTCGCACACCTACCCCTCCATCGATCCTTTTGGAATCTGCCAACTCTTGGGTCTCTCAAACACCTCACAATCCAACTGAAGCTCTTTTACAATCAACTTTAGTGAAATCTCGAATTGCTCGACATCAATCAAGCTCTCCTACACCTATATTCGAAACTGTAGTTGCATTAGCTAAGGGTACAGAACGACTAGCTCATGAGAATACACTCTTAAGTGCAGAGATTCGTATGCTTCGGAAGGCAAATGAGGCATTAAGCAAACGTCGACACGTTAAAAAAACTCAATTACGTCAAGGAGGAGTACTTACTGGTCAGGAAGCTATAGATATAATATCACAACAAGAGGTGGATATTCAGATTCGACGCGACGAGCGTCAAAATAGGGGAAATTCCAATGGGGAATCATCTACTAATCGATGCTGTAGTAAATGTGGAAAGACTGGTCACAATTCAAGAACTTGTTCTAATAATATAATAGACCCTAGATTATTAGATTCTTAATAGTTTAAATCAATTGATTCAATAATTGTTGATTAAAATAAGTTTAAAGTGGTTGAATAAGTGAAAAAGTGGCGACTCGCTGATAGTGGCGACTCGCTGATAAACCACGTTATGTGTAACGATACTGTACTAAAGGCAGCGGCTGCCTAAGGTTTCGTCTGGTTGGTAGTTGTAGGTTAAGGCTTTATCACTGGTATTCACTTGGAAGTGAAGTCGTTACTAGATCAAGTAGAATGTAGGTAAACTAATTGATAACTAAGTTGAGCACGAAGCTCCTTAACTATGAGACTAAATGAATGTTTATATACCCTATATCATCTATTGAGGACCTCTGGGACCCTAAGGTCCAAAAGGTCCTCGAGGTCACGTGAATTAATGAATCGTGACAATATGATATGATTTATACTATTGTAGTATATAAAACTGTATTTAGATCATAAATATATCTAGCTTCCAGCACTAGGCGTTGTCATGATGAGCATCCAATGAACAACCATAAAGAGGATTCTTGATTTCACAACCACAAACTCATCTTTCTATCTTCCTCCTCAGACAGTTTGGTTTTTGAGTGCCGGGTAGTCACATACTTTTCTTTCACAATCCATAGTAATCTGATAAAAAATAAATACTTCTAGCAGAAGTATCAAACTTCCCATCTAGATATCTCAAATTAAAACTCACATACACTTCAACATCTCAACACAACACAACAGCATACTTGCAATAACATGTACATTCAAAGTCCAAGTCACACATAAGATCATAATTTTGAGGTTCAAGTATTGAATTAGATATGTCCACATAAATAAATCCCTCTAATCCTCAAAACGGAGTCGCGCCTACTCATCTCGGCTCCTTCCCTCCAACCCCAAACGCTCAAACCCACCACTTCTCCCCATTAAACATTAAACACTAGACACTAGACACTAGACACTATGAATTAAGAATAATTCCTCATTCCTGATTCCCAGTCCCATAACACCCCTTCCCATAACACCCCGTCCGATACCACCCCGTCCCATAACACCGTAATAAACAATATAATTAATCCCCATCCAGATAACATCATCAGCGTGGTGGACAACAGCTAAATCAATTGCGCGCCTATTGGAAAGAACACTTATGCCCTGATACCCTACAGAGCATAATGCAAGCGAGTGTCTGTGTTCATTGATCCGTCAAGCTGGGTAGATCCCCTAAAGAGAATGTGTGCTCTGATTCCAAAGCGAGCAAGCTTGAAAAGAATGTATATACCCCCATTACCCGAACATCTTTCCCATATACCAAAACTCCCCATCCTGAACTGCAAACCCGAAACCCAAATTCCCCTCCTAAATTCCAATCCAAACTCCAATCCGAATTCCCATCCCAAATTTCCCAATCTGAATTCCTATCCTAAATCTCGATTCAAATTCCCATCCCAAATTCCAATCCAAACTCCAACCCAAATCCTATCCCAAATTTCCCAATCCAAACTCCAATCCAAATTCTATCCCGAACTTTCTATCTCAAATTCTTATCCCAATATCCTACCTTGAAATCTCATCCTAAACTTTAATCCAAATTTTATTCTAAATCTTAATCCAAATCTTATCCCGAATATTTTATTCCAAATTCCTATTTCAAATCCTATCCTAAATCCCACTCTAATTCCTATCCCGAACCCCCACATCCCTCCCCCACATCCCTCCCCCTCACACCACACACCACACACCACACACCTAAATAATCTGATAGTGTGTCTATGAGCTTTCGATATTATTTCGCTTCTCTCATCTTCTCCTCAATACAAAAGAAGGATCTTGTCAGTAGCCGTTCCTACTGCAAGGTGTAAAGATATTCGTATTAGAATATGCCTATCGCCATGTCGTGATTGAATATGATGGTGATGAAGAAAGATCCGTCTGCACTTCACAACTTATTACCCTGCATGAAACCATGATTGATATGAGCTTGCTTCCGTGCGTCGGGTTCAAGAATCCAAATCCTTCTGCACCCTCCCTAAAACGTCTTCTCAACTTTGCGGATGATACCCGAGATGAAGTTCGAATTTTTCCCAAACGCTTCTTCAAATCCTCTATATGAAAACGAGTGATGATTTTTGCCTTTTTCCCCAAGTACCTTCCTACCCAAACGCTTCCCTCTTGAATGGCTCCCTATTCGAATACCTTTCTATTCGAGCACCTTTCTACCCAAATACCTCCCTACCCAAGAGCCTTCCTACAAACACCTTCCTACCCAAAAACCTTCCTCCCAAAACGACCATCCCCAAATCTAAGCCCATCTATCCCAAACACTCCACAAACCCAACTCCAATCCACCTCTCTCTAACCAATTACCCTTCCTTCCTAGTATTATCCTAGTATTATCGAATGATACACAGACACATCACCCCAACAACCTCTAGGAAATAAAGTAAAACAGATCCTAATCCACTACTGGTGTAAGTACCACGTTTTCATGATACCACAATTCCGAGAATTAGTAGATTAGACGAGAGAGTGCGATAGAAGTTCCTTTCCAGGTGGAGGTTTTGTTTTTTTTTTAAACACCGCCATCTTGAACACAATTCCAAACGCTATACCCAAAAACGCCATCCCTATTCTCGACTTATATCTCCGTTACCTGCATTGTGTAAGTATCAAGTTCTTGTGGTACCTCAGTTCCAAAGATTGATAGGTTGAACGGGAGAATGCGATATATGTGACCTTCATAACCACCATCCCAGAATACCATCTCCAAAACCCCATCCCAAATACCAGTCAGAAACACCATCCCCCAACACCACCCCCCCCCCCCCCCCCAAAA